CAAAACCGGCCACATGGACAGGTATTTCATATAAACTTCGCTGGATGCTGGAGCCCAGATGAAATGCCGTTGAGCTTACTCACAGATCCGGCAACGTGAGGTCGTTGGTGACGTCATGTAAGAGCAACATCTGTCTTCCATTGATGTGTGTGAGCCTAATAGCTCCCATGCCTTAAAAGAGACAGGTTTCACACACATAGTTTTTATTTTGGTCTCCGACCGAAAACCTCTGTTGGTAGCAATAAACCAGGACAGGGATCTAATATTTCTGTCATTGCCTTCCTAGAGTTTTCTGATTTTAGGACCGGACTTGCATGCTGATGCTGCACTGCCTTAAAGTTGTTGTTTTTTTTTTTAAATCACAAAAAAAGATTATAATTTTTGTGGCCCACCACAACTTTTCGCTTGGCAAATGCGTGGACACAAAATATGTGTTGGACGCTGCTAGTTTAAATGTGGTCATGTTACTTCAGGCAGGAATGTGCCCAGTTATTTTGGTTTGATCGAGGCTCATAGTTGCTCTTAAAACCAGAATAAATTGAAAATATGTCACATTTTCTGTGAATAATTTACAATCACGACCATATTTCAGTAAAATACTTGATCATGAAAAATATATACCTGTATGCACACACACTTAAAAGGCTCGTTTACGATTGCAAAATAGAAATATTTTGAGATTAAATAATATTTAGGCTAAATCTGGATATGAAGTAATGAAGGGGACATTTAAAATATTTTCATTTGAAGACTCAAACAAATGACGAGCATCCTGAGTTCAGCTGTCGTTTTAAAGCCAGTGGTATGAAAACTATTTTCATCACAGAGTTGATGCATATTGTTTCAAGTCTAGACTCTTGAGAGAGAGAGAGAGAGAGAGATTTTGTTTTATAGGCAGGGTGCTGCAACATTGGCAGAAGCCACTGAAGAAGTGGGCTGTTTATGGAGCCATTTTGCAGAACCTGGCTGAGAAAGGCATTCAGTGGTGTTCAAGTCATTTCATCAGAACTGTCACTCATATAGCCTTTAATATTTTGGAGAAAAAAAACTAAATTTTTGTCCATTTGTTCAAAGAAAAGGCATCATAAATAGTATTCGTTTGCTGATGTCTTTGCTCCCTCACCATCTTATTCCTTCAGTTTTGGCATTTGCTACCTTGTTTTTCATTACCTGCAGATTGCAGTCTGCTTAGGAAAGTGTGGAGAAGTTTGGGTATGTAATTGTGATGGATAAAACTGTCATTTGGAGGTCGTTTGGGAATGTATCAGAATCTGTCGTACTACATAAGAGTCAGGTGAGCCCAACAGAGATGAGGACCGATAGAAATGGTATGAAACACAAAGTCTTCAGAAAATAAAGTGGAATTAGAAAATAAGTATTTTTACCACCATATTTCCATAGTTCACCAAAAACACCTCACAAAGAAAAAAATAAACTTCTATGCAATGGCTTAGTTCAAGTTTGTTTAGAGGTCATAATTGGAAGTAGGAATGCATTAATTGGCAATGCATGAGTAAGTAAATAAGGGAATGATAGACAGGAGAATGTTTACATTTTCTTATGGAAATGAAACAAAACAAATGTCCCAGTTGTGTTAATAACTTTCAAACAGGTTGTCATTCACTTTATTTGATCAATATTGGCACTTTGGTTTGGGCTGTTTCTGCTGTGTGCATATAAAAATGCCTCATAAATAATCAGCTGTTGTTTTGTTTACAACAGTGTGTTGAGTAATTAGTCCCCAGGCCAAATCGGAAAGCTGATTCTTAAGTTGCACATGCAGTAAACATAATTATGAAAAGGCACAGTTTGCTTCTTTCACAGCAAACGAAATCATCTCATTGTTTTTCTTCGTTTGCGGTCAGTCGCTGTTCAGAGTCGAAGTGGGACATTCTTTAGAGACTTAATTTTATTTATTTCCGTTGAGATCCTGAACACATCTTCAGACAGCGGACCCAAACCTGAGCCAGAAGCTGTCATATGCGAAAGAGAGACTTGTAACTGGGAACTGAGAATTATGTTGTTAGACATAGCATAATAATATCCTGAACTGAAAGACTGTTTATACGAAAAACCAGTAAGTGGTTTTTCATCCTTCCTGAAATAAATAGCATGTTTCATTTCAGCTACAGCTAAGAGACTGAGTCACATCTCCTGTGAATTTAAGTTATTCATCATTGAATTGAGATGCTACAGTTTGGCCAAAACTGAATCAGGAAACTTGGCGCCCGCTCAGTATCGGCTTCCTTTATGACTAGTTGGAGTGGCATGCAGCACAAATGGCTCCATATCTACACCCTTTCCCTGACAGTAAAGGAAGAGGTTTCCTCAGTCTAAATTGCTGCCTGATGCTTACATGATGAGGTGGGAGTCTCCAGAGACACAACATACCGCAGCCTCACATCTCCAGTCTCCCCGACTCCCTCGTATTCCGGCACTGCCACATGTTTCGCTTTATTTTTTCCACATTTGTGCCTCTTAATTACGCCATATCAGTCAAAACACAAAATATCTTGTGTAATAGGGATGACTTATGTTTGGACAAATGTTCCGCAAAGGGATGAAAACGGAAAATGCTGGAAAGGGCTTTGGGCTACACTCAGTCATGTCGCCCAATTTTTAAGGAACAATAAAACCTTGAATCACGCAGATTGAGCACAATTTTACCATTAAACAACAGCAAAAAGTAAGACCGTCGTTTTAGGCATATTTCCAATTAAATGTGACTTTGGTTGAATTTTAATTTAAACTTTAATGTGACGCGACTAAAAGCCCAACTACATTGCTCTGAGATTTGGTTTTTTTCCTTGTCCTTTCAAGAAAATTAGCGCTGTAAAGTGCTTGCTAATACCATTATCACACCAACAGGCGGCGATGATGTCAAAATCAGCTACATCAAAATTCAGAAGTAGATTCTACAATGCCAGTTTGTCTCAGATGTCAGGGCTTGGATACGGAAATTACATCATGTCAGGGCTGAGTAGGTCAAGGTGAAACTCGGAAAATAGGGGGATTTATTGATTGTTGTAGTGCTAACTACTTTACTAATATAACCCAACAAGTGTATTTCTCTCATCTTTATGTGTTCAAACTGTAAAAGAACATTTTCACAAACGGAAGTCGTACATTGTTCAATGAAATATAAATTATCAGAGGTTCTAACATGTATTGTTTGGTACTCTGAAGTCAAGTGTACCGAGTTCCCCCTGAAGTTGTAGCTCCAAATGTGAAGATGCTGGCCGAAAATGCCCAAGTTCAGTTTTCCAACATGGCTGCCACATGGAAGAGCTATTCATATTATAATGAATAATAATGAATAAATCACTGGAACTTTTTTGTACAGCCTTTGTTTAAAAACAGGTTCAAAATGTGTTTGAACACACAAGATGGGGCAAAGTACTTGGTTAGTGGCTTGTGTTTCTAGTAGTTGGCACCACAACAACTGGCAACTACCACTGGTTTCCAGCTTGCTGCTAAAACTTGCACAACGTGAGTGTGTCATCATTCCCAGATTTAAGCTCTAACCTCTGGGAAAAATCGAATGCACCAGCGGCTCACACCTGCACATTTCACTGCTTTAGAGGCGCAAATATTGATTGCTCTGCAGCCTCCCAACTTTCCCGGCCAGAAATTCCGACTTCATTTGGAGTTCTTGTTGCATTCCTGACTGGAAGCTTGAAAAGTCCAACCTCTCGGTTCAAGTAGAGTCTTAAACTAAAAGCAGTGTGAAGAAAGATATTTGAAGGACTTCTTCCAAAAATGTGTAGCTGCTGTTCTTTTTGTTTTAAATCCTTTGAGCTTGGCTTTGAAGTGTAATGAAACTAGAGTCGCGACAAAAAGAGACTGATGTGGATCTTTATATGTTCTTTAGAAGTTTGTAAAGAAAATGTATCTTCATGTTCTCTGATTTGTATTGAAATACTTCTATTATTGCATTTTGTCACACAAAAAAAAAGTCAGCATGAGGTGCTGTCACAGAATATTTGTTTTATAAATACTCTTGTTGGTGTGGAGAAGACCTTATTATAACTGAATAAAATACAATTATATGAATGAAGCATACCACCAAGCCCTGGTTGCTGCACCCTTCTACTGCGGTACACTTACTCACAGCCGGAGTTTACCTTTCCTCCACACAGAAAATGTTTTTTCATTCTTTTTTTTTACTCCGCCACATTTCTCAGTTTCTTTGGACTTTGTATATTCCGAAGGCTGCTGCACAGCACCCATCAACACAGTAGGAGCAAAGATAAAAAGCAGGCCACCAATCTGCAGCTCCAGACACACAGACCCTTGCTTTTTTTATTTTTTTATTCGAGTTGTGTTCTGTTGTAAATCTGCAGATTTACAACAAGAGCAATGAGGCATGTTTTTGCCGAATGCTTTTTCTCTTTCTGTGTTTATTCACAGCTTTCTGTCAATGAGACATTTGGAATCAGGAGAGAGGCTGATGGGTGGCCTTTACAGAAAGAGGGATTGTTTTAGCTAATTTGAGTTTTTTGTGTTTATTTTGGCATTACTTATCAAATCTGTAGAGGTTGCAGTTATAGTTGTATTTACTTGTTTTTAAGTTTGTCAGTGTTAAATTAAAACAGTTTTCTGGATGCTGATTTTTTTTATTGTGGAGCTAGAGCACGGGGAATGCAATGTCAACACAGCGGCTCTCGCAAATCTTGTTGGCTTCAGTTTAAACAAGCTTCAAGTAATCAAATCTTTTCTACTAGAAAAATCTTACCTGATGTCCAACATTCGCAGAAACTGAAAGCCCCATTAACTACAAGTTCAGGCACAATGTGTTAGCCTTGTTTCAAAGCAAAATGCAGCTTTATATACATTTGGTCTTTTCACCATGGGACCAAGCACGCATTTAAAAATATTCCCATTGTCCAACGTGGAGAAAAAAGTTTTTCTTTGTGAAAATTTAGCATCAGGAATAATAAAAAAAATTGCCATAAGTGAGTATAAATAATTTTCTTGTTCTTTTCCTGTCTCTGTCTCAGAAATCATTGACGACCTTGCACATCTCGTGGACAAAACAGACGGCAGGATTCGGAATGAGACACGAAGAGTGAAGCTGGTAGAGACCAAGTCGGCGTCATGCGGTGAGCCTCACTTACATCCCTTCACATTTAACAGCACCCTGAATAATTATGTGCTCTACTTTACCAAATGATACAAAATCACTGGTGTCGCAAATAGTTGCACTTTATAAATTGATTGATTTTTTTCCTTTGTCTCGTTGTCAGTGTCTAGGAGTCTTTATTTACCCATAGATTCCTATATCCCTGGGTAAATGACATGAGACAGCAGCCTATTTTCTTTACTACAACTCAAAATGGTAAAGACAGGAGAACATGCCATTAAAGGGAGGCAGATGTGCGCAAATATTCATAAGCCAATGAATGGCTACAAGAAAATAGCTCTGTCTTTGCTTGAGCTATTTTTCAAAAAAGATGTGCACATCAATGTGTTAGACGAGCTTGTATTTAGCTTAACTAAATACAACTTTGTCTGTAATTGAAAATTGTTTTCTACGTTCACTCCTTATCCAATTTAACTGCAACAAAAAAGAAGTACAAAGATGTCAGCTTCTATATGAGCAAAGCTGGTAGGGACAAAATCCAGCAGATTTGCTGGTGTGATTCTCCAGGTTTTCTTTGTTGTGGGAATAATACGATACATGCCACACTCTTCAGATTTTGATTTGTAAATGAATGATTTTCTTCACAATAATGCTCTAAATTGGGCTGGTCTATCACATAAAATCCATTGACGTTTGTGGTTGCAACAAGATAAAACATGGATACCCTGTGCGGTGCTCTGCAGCTGTACAGTCACAAATGTGACCAATCAGTTGAGCTAGTGGTCGTGGGCTGTTGTTTAGTTGGTCGGAAGCAAAAAGCACGGTGGGTAATGAACCTGAGAACATGGAGATGATGAGATCAGGCCTTGGCGCATGTTGTTGCTGGATGGTGAGCTCCGTTTGTCACGCCTCCTAACATGCTGCAGGGGTTTAAAGGAGATGTCTTGATGAATCCCACAAAGTCACACATCAGGTCATGTCATCAACTTCTTTAAAACTCCACATGTTGTAGGAATGAGGAGTTTCCTGAAAAAACGTTTTGTAAAGGCCTTTTGGCCTCTTTACCATAGATCACATTTGTTTTATCATTTTCACAAAGAGCCTTTGGGTTTTGTTGAAAGAGAAATGCCTTTCAGAGGGAAATGGCTCTGATAGTTAGCTGACGAACACCAACCTTTGGAGTAGGCAGTCTCAGCAAAGCCCTTGTTTTCTTTTTTCGCCTTGTGAAATGCCAGTTTCTGTTGCCCTGGCTGGGGCTGCATTGTTTCGACCCGGCTAACAGTCTGTCGCAGACAGAAACGGAGCTCGCGGAGGGAAGGTCAGCCTGCAGAATTCCTCTTTTTGTTGCTTGTGTCCCCATGGTGGCTGAGTATTAGTTTGTTTGCCAATCCCAGAGATCCGTCTGTTGTTTGGTTCAACATGTTTCTTTTTGCTTTCCCATCTCCTGCCATCTTCCTCTTCTATTTGAGGTCGGAGAATATTTATGGCTCTGGTTTGTCTGGTATGTTTAGGTACGGTTCTGTGAAAATATTAGGGCTATATATGAAAAACATGTATAACATAGTGGAAGTTATATTAAGGGCAAGAGTGACTCACTGGGAGGAGAGTCATCTTTCAATTAGAGGACTTGATTTCAGCTTCCTGTTGATGTGCCCTGGAGCAAGGCACTTACCCCATTTTTTTTACTAAATTTAAAGTAAAATTAAAAACTCTCTTTCATTAATAATTTCTCTTTACTGTACAATTTTTGTTTTTCATATATATTTTTTTTACATTTTGTGAATGTAGACTAGTTCTATTCTATTCTGTTCTAATTCAGTTACCCAACTACCTGTAAATCGTTGGAGTGTGTATGAATGTGTAGCGTTAAAGCATTTTAAGTGGTCAGTACGACCAGATAAAGCTTAATCCGTTTACTATGTTAAAATCTGTTTTAATATCTCTGAAACATTCAAGTCATAGAATCCAAAAAAAAAAAAAAAAAAAAAAATTCTAAAAGTTATTATAAGTTATTGTACAAGTTCAACTTTAATGGAAGGTGTGCAACGTATTAGGACAGGTAGTCGCATTATTTTGACCTAAGAACAGGGGACGTGTTTGCTGTGAACCAAATACAGCATTTAAGGTGCCATGGTAACAGTGGGGCACAGAGGTGGACGTGTCATGGTTTGGGGATGTGACCAGAATCCACCATGAGTCCTAGGTGAGGTCATATGTAAAAATACAAAATTAATTTGAAGCAGAACTTAATCTTATTGACTGTCTGAGAAGTAAGACATGAAAAGTCCTGGGCCTAGTCAAAGCCCAGATCATGATTTCATGTCAATGCTGTGGTGTGACTTGAAACACACCCCAGGTGGAGCGATGAAGAAGTAAAGACTTCAGCCCAATTTTTTCACAACTGTACATGTGATTTCTGTCGGTTGGCATTGCATTTCTGTTTTATGCTATTTCTCTGTGTTTAGAAAGTATACATGCACATGCCTGCTGCAGTTGTGGGTTTTATGCCTCTTGTCTTCGGGGACGGAAAATTTCCCCTTCTGATCCTCTTCACTCTCACCTCTACGCCTTCACTCGCTTTCGTTCATTCATCTCTGTCATCCCTCTGTTCACCACCTCAGTTGTTTGACACTCATGTCTGCGTTAAGCAAAGAAAGAAGTGAAAATACTGCATGCCACAGATTGTTCGAAGGGCTTTCCCTCTTTTGCTCTAGCAGTGTGTTTATAATTCCTTAGCTTTAGGGCTTTATTTATTTTTAAAAGCTCTGTTCATCCAAAGGCACTGTTTGATATGTCTCAGACGCGTCTCTGCAAAGGTAGGATAGTCGGGGTCTGACAGCAGAGCATGCTTAGCATTGCTGCTGCTCACCGTAAATACTTTAGTAGTTTTGCTGCTCTAACCGTGTCATGATGCACATCATCTTTTAAGTCAGGAATCAATCTTGTGGCCGGTTTTCCCTCCTGCAGAGATTTCTTCCCTAAAACAATCATTTTATTTTGATACATTCAGAAATTGACATGAATAGATTTTGGTTTCTTCTTATTACTTTTTTCTTTAGAGCATGCATGGCCATTTATATTTCTAATATGGGAAATATTACCATGTTAGAACAAAACAATATAAATCAACCTTTAGGAAATTCTAACATAGTGAATTAAATGTTAAAAGACTAAACTATTCCTGTTATTAATTGGTAGAGACTTGACTTGAACTTGCGAAAGACTTGAGACTTGATTTGGAAGAAATGACTTGAGATCTGTGTTGCAATAACCAGAAATGCCTCAAATCTCTGATCGTTGCACATGCTAATTTTCTTGCAACTGAAGGTCAGGAATAAATATCACAGACATTCTGTTTCATCCTGCAAGTAGTTTTGATTAAACAGCAACAACAAAAAAACTTCTAGAAACTCTAAACTCTAGAGCCGGAGATGTTTACGTCGAGTCGTTTGAACTCAGGTCTAAGTCAGTTTTGAAGTCTTTTCTTTTGCAACACAAGTGCAACTTGAATCAGAGTCTCAAAATGAAGATGACTAGAGCCATGCTCAGCTATCGTTAAGGAACAGAACTTCCTTAAACAAAACCCAAAAACACAAATTTTTCTACAAACATTTCAAGCACCGATCTGCTCCTTCATAGTTGGGTGAAGCGGATACCCAGTCATTACCGCTTCTGTCAGCTTTGGCAGAAACTAAGAAGTGTTTTTTTAGTTTAGTTGGATTAGTGTGCCAGATTAGTCGGTAGGACTACAGGATCTGTTGTAGCGCAATGTGAGTTAGAAGATCCTCAACACACAGCATCACTTCATGATGACTCCAATTGACTTAGCTAACCCCCAGCTTGTAGAGAGAAACTTCAGCAGCCCTATGAAACACAGAGTCCCAGCTAAGTTACACACTCAGTGCTACAGGAGATTTCCAAGGAAGCTCTTGCTGTGATTTGGATTACTGCAGCACTAATGTTTGTGTTGATTTTATTGTCTCTTAATGTTTGTGTTGTTTCTTATGCGTGTTAGGATGTGTCGGTGGAGAAAAAAGAAGCAATATTTAAATGTTTAAGTTGTTTTATATTATTGATCAAGTTTTTACACCAGTGTTGTTTTTATGTAAGTGAGATTCTTTCATAGTTTAGCCTACTTGTGGAATACTGGAAGGATTAGTTTAGGTTTGGTATTAGGTTAAAGTGAGGCTTAATGAAGTAATGCCATCCAAGCTGCTCTTTCTTTTCTTTTAAAAAAAATGTTTCTACTTTTTTTTTTTTTTTAAAGGAAATTCCTTAGAAGGTACCAAAGTGACTAACATCTTCTCTGGTCATATGGAGCAGAGAAGCCATTCATTTCTACACTTCCTCCATCTGTTGCTGCACACTGCCAACAGGCTGGCTGAAAAACATCCACTATAGCAGTGTTACATGTCATCCACAGAAATTTTAGAAAATGAACCCTAAAAACTACATGAGCATCTGTTTAAAACGAGTCGTTGGTAGATTTCATACAGTTTGCAGAAAAACTCTGAAACAGAAGATCCTTGACTTAAACATACGTTGATTTCATGTGTCACAGGAAATTTGGGTAATTTAAGAACTTTTATTGATATGCCGTCTTTTTCTTAATGCCCTATGAATAAACAAACAAACAAAAACAACTCATTAAAGTTTTTGTCTGTCCCAGTTTTGTTTCGAGAAACATCCCCTTGTTAATCTTGTCAACAGAAAATATGTCCCCTTCCTTTAGGGGTCATGCTCGCCTTTTGTGGTCCAAAAGGTCTTTGAACTCTGAGCGGGGAGGCAGCGTCAGGACTCACACCGATTATCATTTTCTTTCTGTGATTTGTCTTACTGATGCGTCTGAAAATTGCTAAGATGGGATGAACCCAGACTTGTTCCTGCAGGACTCCTGGGTGGTCAGTCTGTCAGCAGACACCAACCAACTCCATCAGAGGGACTGTCACAGCACCGCCCTAATCTATCGGGGATGCCAGCCCCAATATTGTCATGAGACCCCAAGGGGTCCCTCTGAGGGCGAGGAGGGCCATGTCTAGTTGCTAGGGCAGACAGTGACGGTGCAAGGACAAAAGAAGGGTGGGGTCACTTTGGGTGTCAACTGTGGCTTTATGAGTGACTATTATGTGAAGCTGAGGAGTGTGAGAGCTTTGCTCCGCAGTAATGCATGCATAGCTTGCAAAGCTCATTCCTTAATGCTGTTGTTGCTATGGATTGAGAGGTGGAGTTTCTGTCAGATGTTGGATCAGGATCAATGAAATTCTTAACTCTGAATCCAATAAGCGTTGGGTTTTGCGTACATATCATTCACATGCAGACGAGGAAAACTGCAGCAAATTCTAATGTGTGTTTTGCTTTTAGCTGGAGGCGTTTAAAGAGTCATCACAAGCGTCGGAGCAAATGTTTCTGCTTTGACATTTACATTTAGCTCACATATGTTGGGGATTAGCGGGGAGAGGTTCTGCCTCGTCCGGCAATAACACCCAACATGCATATCCTGTGTGAGCACCTTCAACTCAAACAGAATAAAAACACAAGATGCTCAAGTTATTACCTACATATGGATACACAACAAAACACAAGCCCTCCATGTTTTAGTTTACTTAAAAAAAAAAATAAATAAATAAATAAATAAGGCAACTTGCAGTGACTTTCAAAGCCATCTGGACCCCCTTTAGCCATAGTTTATCCAGCATGGCTTAAACCTTGCCTTGACTTTTCACCTGTGGGGCCAACAGCCAATTAGACGGCAGAGGGGGGAGTGGGAGTAAAAAGCACAAGAATGAGAGAAATGTAACACTAAAAAAAAAAAAATGGTTGGGTGAAATACCAACCACATGCTGCAGAATGTTGGACAGTTTGAGTCAGAGGACAAACAGCTGCCATCAGTTCTTCAGCACCACAGTACAAGTCACATAAAAAGCGACATTAATGCAACCTTGCTAGAGGTTTGTTGGCTTTTATCTGTCCAAAATTGTCTTAAGTTCCCACAAACTTATTTAAATCAGGCTTGAGGTTTGGGCTTTGACTGAGCCAAAGCAACCTCTGTGTAAAGTTTGTGTTGTTGATGACTAACTTTGAGCCAAGCTTCAGCAGGTAGACAGATGGCTCATGTATGACGCTAGGATAATTTGCAGGAATTATTTTTGACATCTGATCTAACAACCTGCAGTTTTTAGCCGAAATTTAAAAATCTTCTCAATTTTAAACAGATTTTTTATTTTATTTTTTTCAAGAAATGACTGGATTGGAATGGGATGCTACTTTCAGATGGAGCAAATGTTGAGTTAAAAAGTCTCATTTTACAAACTTACACCCCTCATAAATATCCGAACAGCTCCTGTAAATGTAAAACTCAAAATGTTTGCATTGTAAGAGAAAAGAACTTATTTTAAGGAGACTCTGGATCAGTTTTTAAATTGCTGGTGTAAATGAAATGTTTCATTGGACAAAAAATGTTGGCATTTGTTTCAGATCCTAATGATAATTCCCAATTAAGTTTCAAGAGATTCGGCGGTGATTGTCCTCCTGACCTCCATATTGTGTCTGAGTTGATATGACATAATTTGAGTTTTAATGTCTTTGATAATCAGCAGAGGATTGTGCCTTAATCTCATCCTTCTCTGTTTTTCCTTTTGCCTGCTCAGGGATGCTGGTGGTGATCGTGTTGCTGCTCATAGCCATCGTTGTGATCGCTGCGTGGCCCGTGTAGCTGATGGAGGTGGCGGCGGATGTGGACCAGTTTAAATCACAGATCCTCACTGAAATACTGTCTTCGGTCTTCTGTTCTCTCTTTTGATCACTGGAAACTATCAAACTAAAAGAATGTGAAATAAAATTTCCTCCATTTAGCAGCACAAATGCTTGTTTTTATACTGTGGGCAGAAGAGGCTTGAGGACGTTTCCTTCTCTGTCCTGTACATACTGTGGGAATATGAATCGTCTTTTACTGTAGTGAACGTAACGTTCGGATCACTGCTTCCAATGATCATCTGGATGTTAAATTATTTGGCAGATTGTGAACTTTTTTTTTTTTTAATGTAGTTTAGTCCAAACAAACAGGACCTCCCGCAGGTCTACAGTCTCTCTGTGGCTGAATTCAGGTTTACATCAGGTACAATAGCCTTTTCACATTCTCATTTATTTACTCGTGCATTGCTGTAGCAGCTGTAATGATATAAGTTTGCTAGCACTTTCTAATGTTTATCGAACAGACTGTAGCCAGAACTAACAGTTACCAACATGCCTCTGTGACTTCCTGTTAAATCAGCTCTGCTTGTAATATCTAATAAATGACTTTCAGTTAATAGTCCCTTGATACCCGTCTGTCTGCCTTCATGTCAGAGACTCGTCATGCATCTCTGGAGTACCGGAGGGTTTTGTAACGTGATATTTGGTCGGAGTGGGCTGCTGACATCATTTCTGCACACATGGACCACGTCTTCATTCTTCAGTGCCTGAAAAAATATGCACTCAGTCACATCCTGTCACATTATAATGCAAGCGACAACATAGTTTATGGCACATGTGTCAAACTCAAGGCCCGCGGGCCACATGTGGCCCGCCATGTCATTTTATGTGGCCCGCCCCAGC